CATGCCCAAGATCCCGAGAGGAGAATGGAGGAGAAGGGATTGCGGCGTGGCCATCCCCCCTGGGGGGTGATTTCTCGCTTTTTGTCTCTATGTCTCTCTCTGTCTGTCTGGCGAGCGCACACACCCTATAGCGAAAATCTCTCAAAAAAAAAAAAGAATTATTTACTTTATGTATTCATTTATTTTTTAAATAATTATTAATTTAATTTAATTTATTCATTCATTCATTTTTTAATTTGACCAGAGAGAGACAGAGGGTGAGAGTGAGAGAGAAAGGGAGAAAATAAGCCACCAGATTCAGGACTTGAACCCTGGTCAGCCATGTGGGAGTGTTCAATGCCTTAACCACCACACCTGCTGGTCCCCATTATTCATTTATTTTTTAATTTGACCAGAGAGAGACACATAGAGAGAGAGAGAGAGAGAGAGAGAGAGAGAGAGAGAGAGAGAGAGAGAAAGTGAGAAGGCAAACTACCAGACCCAGGACTCGAACCATGGTCAGTCATGTAGGAGTGTCCAGCGCCTTAACCACCATGCCACCTGCTAGTCCCGAGGTAAGCCATCTTAATGAGTATTTGTTTATTAGATAACTTTCCATGGCTGGCATCTGGCTAGGGACAAAAGTTTGAAGAAACACAAAATGGGTATGATAGAAAGGAAACTGGGAAATATGATGGCAAGGAGAAAAAGAGGGTCTAGTAAGTGGTGTAGTGATTAAAGCACTAGACTCCCACATGGCTGATTGTGGTTTGAGTCCCAGGCCTGAAGACTTGAAACTCACACCAGGGGTGTGTGCGTGCCTGCCAACAATCCCAAGAGGAGAATGGAGAAGGGATTGCAGGGTGACTATCCTCCCTGGATTGCAGAGTGACTATCCTCCCTGGGGAATTATTTCTTGCTTTCTGTCTCTCCCGTGAGCACACATTCCCTATAGCAAAAAATATCTAAAAATTAAAAATAAAAAAGAAGAAGAAAAGGAAACTCCCTTGTAATTTTCTGATGGTGAGTTCCTAGCATAAGTAAGGGTCGTCTTCCCCAAATTTTATGACTTTCCTTCCTTTTTTCCTTCTCAAAATACAAAGTTCAGAAGATTTTGATCCATATATATATATATATAAAGAAAGAATTATTATAGGAATTGACCAAAAGAAGGAAGAGTTACTTGTGCCACATAGGAAATTCTCCCTAAAGGAAATTTTCAGTAAAATTTTCCTTCAATGAGTCTCTATACTAGGATCTTTCTCTTCAGAAATTCGTTATGTAATTTATCCTGTTAAATCAAATTACAGGCTCTAAGCTGTGGCTTCCCATAACAATGGCATTTCCTAAAATGAGCTTGTGCATCAGCAGATTGGCACCAGCTTAGACAAAGTCTATGAATTTGTTGGCGTTGCTGACAGAGTTTGGGCAGAGCTTCTGCCACATTTTCTAAGTTAACAAATACGATATGACCTTGATAAATTCTTTTCTTATTTTAGCAAAACCACATTCTGCTTTGAAAAAGGTCAAACTCAGAACAAGGATATAACTTTTTCTCTACTGGTTTTTCGTGAGTTTGTCACCTGAGACAGGATGTGCTATGGTCAAAGGGGGATTTGCTTTATCTAGATACTTTGAAATTTCATCTCAAAGTACCCAATGATCTGGGCCAATCTTTTATGGATTTATATTGCCTTTTTTTTTTTTCTCCCGATGAATGATGCTAAATCTTATTTCTCTGAAAAGTTATTGGCTATTTTGGGATTAAATTTTTAAAAAAAATTCTTTGTATAACTGCTGGCATGCTTGCTTTCCAGGCTTCCAGAAATCTATGTATTCCTGATTCTACCTGCTTCTTATCCTTTATCATGATTCTCTCTCTCCCTCTCTCTTTTTTTTTTTTTTTTTTTTTTTTGGCTATAGGGCATGTGCGCTTGACAGAGAGACAGAGACAAAGAGACAGAAAGCAAAAAATCACCCCCCAGAGGAGATGACCACACCAGAATCACCTCTCTTCCATTCTCTTCTCAGGATTATGGGCATGCACGAACAAGCACCTGGTGTTTCAAGCTGCCAGGTCTGTGACTCAAACTATGGATGGCCATGCAAGAGTTCAGTGCCCTAACTACCTGTTGGCCTCCTATCAAGCCTCACTTTAAAAAAATAATAACTATATTTATTTAAATTTATTTACTTATTTATTTATTTATTTTCATTTGACCAGAGCAGGGAAGAGAGAGAGAGAAAATGAGAAGGCAAGCCGCCAGGTCCGGGTCTCAAGTGGGAGTCTCATTCCCTTAACCACTATGCTCCCTGCCAGCCCTTCATGCCTCACTGTTAAGTTTCTTCCGTTCTTCTACAAATGAGAGAAATGAGGGAGGGAAGGCAGAACCCCACCAAGCTCCTGATGCCACAATACGCCCCTAGCTTTCAGGCAGCCCTGGGTGGTTTTTTTTCCAAGCCACCAGTACTGGGAATTGAACAGCAGTCAGCCATGTGGGATCTAGTTCTTTAACCACTAGGCTACAGGGTTAGGCCTTTTTTAAGGTTTGTGCTTGGCAAAATGTAGCCAAATTTAGTAACCAATAACCTGAGAGCAATAAATACAACAGAAATTTTACACTCTTAAGAAAGACATTGATTAGAAAGTGAGGTAAAGAGGGCAGACGGTGGTGCAGTGGTGAAACGAGAAGCTCTGTGGGGCAATTCCACACCTCGGGTGCATGTCCACGCATGCCCCAAATCCTGAGAGATGGAAGAGAAGGGATTGTGGTGACCACACCCAACTGGGGGGTGCTTTCTCCTTTTCTCTGTCATTCTGTTTCTCTCTGGTGAGCACATTTGCCCTCTAGCAATAAAAAATATATATATAGGGGCCAGCAAGTGGCATGGTGGTTAAAGGCACTGGACTCCCACATGGCCGACCACGGTTCAAGTCTTGCACCTTCTTTCTCACTACCTCTCTCTCTCTCTGTCTCTCTCTGATCAAACTGGAAAATAATAATGATAATAATAAATAAAAGTTAAAAATATATATATATATAAAATGAGAAATGTTCTCCCAGCCTGTTACATATAAATATACCACATCTTATTTGGCTAATGGCTATTACTAGACATTCAGGTATTACCAGTTTTTTCTTTCCATAAATAATTCTCTCATTCCATTTATTGAATCATTAAATCTTTTTCTTTTCCTTTTTTTTTGTTTTTTTTTTTTTTGACAATTAGAACCAATGCTGCAATACTACAATATAGAGTGGCACTTAAAAGTATGGGCTTGGGCCAGCACGTGGTGTGGTGGTTAAGGTGCTGGATTCTCACGTGGTCAACCACGGTTTGAGTCCTGAACTTCATGGCTTCAAAAATCACAGCAAATAAATAGATTAATAAATAAATGTTCTCAAAAATATATGGGTTCTAAAATCTCACCATTTGGGTTTGCACCCTGGTCCTAGTACTTCAGCAATAAATTAAGTCCTCTTATTTGTGAGAGAGATGGAATTATAACATCGCCTATCATATAACTTAGCATCATACATGGCACACGGCATAAGTAATCAGTAAGTAAGCTTTTTATAACAATTTTTTTTTTTTTTTTGGTGCCATAGGGTGCATACACTAGCTGAAGAGACACAGAGGGGAAAATGGAGAGGGAAAGTGAGAAATCATCCCCAGTGGAGATGGCCATGTTGCAAATCCCTTTTCTCCACTCTCCTCCTGATATGTTGGGCATGCACACACATGTGCCCGATGTGACTGTTTGGTCCATATGTAAGGAGAGGCAAAGCACATGCTTGGAACATAGAAAAGAGTGAAACGGAAGGAAGATGCTGTGTAGAGAAGGAGGCGATAGACTTGGAGAGATGGAAAGAGATCGATTATTCTTTAACCACGTTAGTTCCCGCATGAATTCTGGGCGTTCGCACCATCCGTCCTAGATGTCCATTTTCTGATTCCTGTCCATCTCAATGCTTGGTGTTACTTACTGACCCTCAAGGTCCTTGCAACACCTCTGTGTTCTTACATTTCTTTGTGCATGTGTGGGTGTGTGTGTGTGTGTGTAGAAGAGGGAGCTTAATTTAGTTCAAGTGGGTTTCCATTGCTTGCACTGTAAGAAAACTTGATTCCAACAATCAGTTTACTCGTTGCGGAACTTTAGGCAAGTTATTTAACCTGCTAGCCTCACTCTTCGTACTGAGAAAATGGGCTAATAAGGGAATCTACTTGCCAGGGTTACTGTCAGGATTGCATGAGTTAGGAAAGAAATGTGTTTAACACATGCTCGGCATGTTGTATGTTCCCGATATATTAGATGCTAGTCCTTTTTTAATGAAAGAATTATGTTATTTAACTTTATTTATTTATTTGGACTGTGTGCTGCTTTAATGTCATCTCACCAGCAGACATCGAACCAGGGCCTGCGCCTGGCTACCCGACTGGAGAACTCAGGTTATGGCGGCCAGGGTCCCCGGATGATCCCTCCTGGGGCTCAGCCCTGTTTCCTTCCCCACAGAGGGGCTGCCTGGCAGGCCTGGAGCTAAGGCCACTTAGGGCTGGGTGGCAGCACCCCTCAGAGGGAGGCACCTACTTCTGCCTTCTGTACCTGCTCGCTCCTATGGGTGCCATTGCAGTATGGGGGTCTCTGGGTGGCCTTGCAGGTACACAGGACCACCGTGCAGGTCTCTTGGGCTTTGAACTTGAGTGGAGATAGGCCAGTGCATTGGAAGAAGTGGGAGCCATCACAGAAGGGCTGCTTCTTGCTGTGGCCACACACACCACCAAAAACATGCAATGCTTCACAAATTTGCGTGTCATCCTTGCACAGGGGCCGTGCTAATCTTCTCTGAGTTGTTCCAATTTTAGTATATGTGCTGCCGAAACGAGCACTACTTATTTTTAATTTGACCAGAGAAGAACAGAGTGAGAGAGAGGGAAAGTGAGAAAGCAAGGCACCAGGCCTGGAACTCAAACTGTGGTCGACCATGTGGGAGTCCAGTGTCCTTACCCAGCATGCCTCCTGCTGACCCCAGATGCAATTCCTATTGCTGAGCTTTCACAGTCAGGCTGCCACTAAGCTGAGTACAGGATACTCTGATACCAATAATTAGAGCACCATTCTGACACGACTTGACACACGGATTGTGATACACTCCTGGTCTTATCATATCCCTGAAAATAGAAATCTATACCCCCAAGTGCTGTCCTGAAAGTCTCAATGGCCAGAGAGGCTGGAGTTTGAGCTGGAAACAGTAGAACGGGACTGTTGATGCAGAGAAGTAGTGGAAGAGTCTGGAAGCATCTCCCAAAGGGCCTGCTGCTGGCCCCTTATCTGTTTTGGGGGGTTGATGATCCTGTAAATGTTGTGAGGGTGACTTTTAACAGCAAGGCTTAATGTCTGTCAAGGGCTCAGAGACGTTTCCTATTACTAACAGAACCCAGTTTCGCACTGGAGCACTCTTGCTTAGATTGGTAAGTGTTAAATGCAATTAATGGTAGTGGACATTGGTAAATGAGTAGTTTGTGCTGCTGCTGATACCTATTTGGCTAACAGCTTCCTATCGAGATAACTGACAATGCGCCCATGTGGGACTGTTATCACCAACATCAAGAGTTATAAAAAACGAAGATCCCACAATGAGTCTTGAAAAGACAGTTCTACAAGCACACTTTTCAAAGGTTTAACATTTACCATTTTAAACCTGCATTTCATGTTATAGCTTATATATAAAATATCCTCAAATGGTTTAAAAATATGTTGCTATGACCATTGAAGCTAGCCGTTCTCTGTGGGATTCTACTGAGTTCTCAGATCAAGAGATTAATTCAGAGACAGGTTAAGCTGGGAATCAGTCCCTGGGGCTAGGTGGTGGATGACAATTTTAACCTTTTTTTATTCAAGCATTCAATTTAGTATTAAGCACAGTATAATGGTAACACCACCCTAACAAGTGAACCACTTCCATTTTTCCATGTTCAGTCAATATATCTTTTTTTCTTTATTCAGGAGAGAGGATGTGCACTCACACATGAGAATGAAAGAGATAGAGAGAGGGAGATGACCACCCATTAGGGATCTGGTCACACAGCAATCCCCTTCCTCCAGTTCTCCAGCCAAATGGATCTTGAGTATTTGCACATGGACCTGGTATGTTTTAGGCTGACTGAGCCAGAGATTTGAATCTCCATTGCCATGTGGGATCTGGCTTTCCTTGAGTGACATGTTACCACTGCACCATGGGTAGGACTGACTACAATCTGTATATCTTTTCATGATGATTGACATATTCCTCTAAGTGACAAATCCTCAATCCAAAATGCAAGCTGCCCTAGAGCTATAAGAGATTGCTTACAGAGCATTTAGGAGATACAGTCACATAAGAGGTCTTTAAAAGCTGTTAACTGGAGGACCGGCGGATAGTGTAATGGTTATGTTGCTGGACTCCTATAAAGCTGATTGCGGTTTGAGTCCCAGACCCAGCAGTTTGAAACTCATGCCAGGTGCACGTGCGTGCATGCCCAAAATCCCAACAGGTGAATGGAGGAGAAGGGGTGGTGGTGTGGCCATCCCCTGTAGGGTGATTTCTCACTTTCTGCCTCTCTATTTCTCCAGGAAGCACACACACACACACACACACACACACACACACACACACTGTTCCAAAAATCTCTCTAAAAAGAAAAACAAACTGTTGACTGGGGCCAGCTAGTAGCATAGTAGTTAAGGTGCTAAACTTCCACATGACCAACTGCAGTTTGAGTCCCAGACCAGCTTGAAACTCATGCCAAGCACGTGTACATGCATGCCCAAAATCCTGAGAGGAGAATGAAAGAGAAGGGATTGTGGTGTGGCCATCCCCCCTTGAGGGGCGATTTCTTGTTTTCTGTCTCCTTGTCTCTGGTGAGCACGTGCGCTCTACAACAAAAATCTCTCTCAAAAAAAAAAAAAAAAAGTTGTTGAATTGTATAAGGTAGCAACGTTCAAAAAACATAATCTATGTGTATATCTCATCTCCTGTTCCAGATTATAATCTCTCAGATGGACCAAAGAAGATTGTGGTTTGGTCTCTATTACATTCACTAAGTACCTAGTGTATCTCTTGTGCATAAAAAGACGATTAATAAATAGTTGTTGAAAAAGTAAATTAGGTAGTCAGTAGAGATTGCAAAAGAGCAGCGACAACCAGAGGATTATTTTGAGGAAGACTTTGAAGGAAGAAAAAGAGACTGATCTTTGCTAGCAGATGGTATATCACAGAATACTTGGTAGGCAGGGCTGAATTGATGTTCATGTGTGAATTGTCTGCTGGGTGTTTGCTTTTCAACAATTTAAGTAGTTGATATGTAAATATTTTCTCAAAAATATTTAAAACCATACTGTGTCTGTTATAGAGTCACCAACAAAATTATAACAATTATTTCTAACATTATCTTTAAAATTCAGTTTTTTGAAATGTTGAAAGTTGTTTATTAACTGTCAAGAACTAGGGAACCAGCAGTTAGCGTAATGGCTGTCGCTGGACTTCCACGTAGTCGCCCGTGGGTCGCGCCCCGGACCCGGTGGCTTAGAACTCATGCCGGGGTGCATGCCCAAGATCCCGAGAGGAGAATGGAGGAGAAGGGATTGCGGCGTGGCCATCCCCCCTGGGGGGTGATTTCTCGCTTTCTGTCTCTATGTCTCTCTCTGTCTGTCTGGCGAGCGCACGCGCCCTATAGCGAAAAAACTCTCAAAAAAAAAAAAAGAACTATAAAGTATGAGCACACATTTTTTGATATGTAAAGTAAATGTTTGTGGGAAAACATAAAAATAAATAAATGATTAGAAAAAAAGAAAAAGTAAATTAGGCTAATCAAGATAGATAAATGGCTGCTACGGGCTGGGACCAGGAGGGAAGTCACAGCTGCCTGCTCTCCAGCTTTTCTCTGGCTTGGCTAGCTACCGTCTTGCATGAGAAGGGAGTTGAGTGGTGGGTAGAAGACTTCACTGTGAATCTTAGTGTAAGTCTCTTGCAGTCCCTGTCCCTCTGGTCACGCTGGGCTCTCATTTCTATTCACCTAGAGACCAGAGATGAAGCACTGTGAGGTGTTTGAGAAGCCTTCTCCTTCTGTGGCAGGGGACTGGGAGGCAAGTCAGAGTGAGGGGCCTGTCTCAGAGAGACGCCCTGGGCACTGCCCAGTTAGGGGCCTGAGGCATGAACCAATCTGGAGATATAGCTGGTTAAACATTTACCAGCACACCACTTGAATAGAGGCCTGTGCTGGCACAAAGAACTGTGTGCTAGAGACTTCACGACAAAAAGCAAATGGACAAAACCACCAACTTCTCCATGGCTGCAGCACAGTGCCCCAAATGGCCAGAGAGGAAGAAATGTGTCCATGCTCCCAGAATAGAACCAAACGTTCTTCCACAGTGGAAGCCATCAAGGACCCATATTGTCCCAGAATCCTGCAATCTTCTGTCACTGAACCACCGGCCTGAGCATGTCACTGACCTTCTGTCCTCATGACATTATTTAAAAGCCAAGATGGAAAGACTTTTGTTTGGCAAGTTAAACAAGTTTATTTTGTTGTGAAATCTTGGGTGGTAAGAAAATGAGTTCCTCGGGCTGGCCGGTGGCATGGTGGTTAAGGGCGCTGGACTCCCATATGGCTGACCAGGGTTCGATTTCCCAGACCTGGTGGCTTCCTTTCTCACTTTCTCTCTCTCTGTCTCTCTCTGTTCAAATTAAAATAAGTAAATAAATAAAGTGAAATAAAATATTTTTTAGAAAGGAAAGAAAATGAGTTTCTGTAAGAGCTAGGATTCTTCTATTTACTTACTGAAAAAGGAGAAATATTTTTCCTTTTTTTTTGGCGAGAAATGCTGTTCTAGACTAGCAGGTACATATTCTACTTTCTGTAGGGCTTCTAATCATGTTATCCTTGATCTGGACACATTAGACTCTGGTTGGGGGTGGGGGGAGACACATCCACGCATATAATTAGACAGGATCCATCACTCTTAATTCTAAAAAGTAAATAAATAAATTTACAAGTAGTAGCTTAGTAATAGTATAGCTGATGGGGTGAACTAAAGCCAAAAATGTTTGTTGTGTCCATTACTTGGTGCTTTTGTGTTGTTTTTTACTTTTAGAATTATTACTTTAATTTTTATTTATTTATTTATTATTTTTTTAAAATTTGCTATAGGGCACATGTGCTTGCAAGAGAGGGCAGCAAGGGGGAAGGAAGTGAGAAAGCGAGCCATCAGGTCTGGGACTCTAACTGTGGTCAGCCATAGGGGAGGAGTCCAGTGTCTTAACCACCACACCACTTGCTGGCCCCTGGTGCTTTTGTTTTAAATAACAATTTTATACTTCTAAAGGGCCATTTTGGCCTGGCTGCATCAAAATGCTTGTGTGAAAATGTCCTGCATCATACCTGTGTCCTATCTGGGCTTCTAAACACAGTCTATCCTCACCGCTTCACCCCTTTGCTCCTTATGACTTCAGCCTGAAGGACATAGGAGCATTTGCCTGTGGCAGAAGTCAGAAGGGATCAATTCTCAACCAATCAGGGCAATATGTATTTACAAGCAGTAGGGGCAAATTAAAGCCTTTGCAAATTCTTTTTCTTCTTCATATCTTTTAGCTACAATGTTTAAAATCCTAGGCTTTCAACTCAACTATGGATGAGTGACAATACCCATTTGCCAGCTGGTCATTGTATGACTACTGTAGCATGGAAATGGGAACTAGAGAGCAGTTACATATTTTGCGGTAAAAATCCCTCATATGCCTGACATGTTGTGGTTTCCTTCTGCAAAACGGGTGGGATGTGGAATAAGGAAGCAAGAAGAAATGAAGAAGTTAGGAGATTCAGTCTTCCGATGAACAAACATTTGTTGGGTC